AAACATGGAGTGAAATAATGTTAATGGGATGAGCGAAGGAGGAAGGAAGGGAAGGCGGGCCAAGGTGAACAGTGAATCCGAAGCAGATCAGAATTTTCAGGTTAAATCAGCTGGTTGGGCTTCCTTATGTCATGTTTAGGATTAGGTTAGGTTCCAAGACTTAACGACTCATCACTAAGAAACAAAGTCTTCAGTTGGAGGAGGGAGGAGGGGGGGCAATGTTAAGACGCAAATATATTGAACCACCAGACAATCTGATCAGTGAAGAAACATAACCATTCCTGTCGACTCAAGGCAAAGATCCCTCTCACACCACCAACTAATCATATACAGGTGAACATCATTACATAAACAGTGACCAGACGCCATTAGTGTTGCAGAAAGACTCGGCGTGTCACAGTAAACAATGGGAGGTCTGGTGGCCGCCTTGTTGCCAGCCACTCATCTCACACCAGCGACGTGTTGTACATCTTGAAAACATCGTAACTTCATCAAATTTCCTTTTTTGTTACATAGATCATAAGTTTGAGATAAATTAGGGACTATTTTAGGGGCATCACCTTCAAGCAGGAATACAACCAAGGAAAAATGTCACCGTCTGGGTTTTAACACCAGGATTGTGCGGAAAGGTGTCCTGATTACCTCAAGTAAGAGTGGCTGACCCCAAGACGCTGCCGGTGTTGATTACGTGCACCAACTTTCGCTGAGTCGCTGCTATTCTCATCAGTCATGGTGTGTCGTGAACCTGGCGCGAGACGATACAGGTGACTCGCCCACCCTGCCAGCTGCCGGGCCTGTGCTACCTCGACACCACCTCAGCGAGACGATACAGGTGACTCGCCCACCCTGCCAGCTGCCGGGCCTGTGCTACCTCGACACCACCTCAGCGAGACGATACAGGTGACTCGCCCACCCTGCCAGCTGCCGGGCCTGTGCTACCTCGACACCACCTCACAGTGTAAACAAATCGAGGCGATCAGCTGAGTAGTGAAGTCCAGTAGACGATCACCAACATGTAAACACGGTCAGGCGAACACTTGACCGATACTGACAAAGTTAAACAGCCAGTGATGCAGAGTTTAACTTGGATTAAACTATAACCTTCAGCAGTTAAACCGAGGCTTATGACTGAAGCAATGAGTAATATAGCAGCTGTAAACAAGATCCACTTACTGAATGTTTCAAGGTCGTTGTGTTGTGGAGGTGGTTAACACACACACACACACACTGTTATACGTTATAATACACCTATACAACATTACCATATATGAACTAAAAACCTTAGGTGATTGGTCTAGTGGTGGGGCCAATGAGCGCAAGTTATGGTATTGTATAATAAGGACCAATCAAAGCAAGTCATGGTATATAAGGACCAATCAGAGCAGTTTATAGACGTGGATTCTGTCAATTGAGGCCCAGTACGAAATAATTAAACACAATACTTTTATTACCAGTCTCTCACCGACATAAAGATCACTGTATCACCAAATTACAGTGAACAAGGATGACTGTATTACCACGTTACAGTAATCTGGTCACCTCAAGAGACCCGCTCACACGATGTTAATGCTCACGAGGTGATTAATTACTGTACTATGATAAATTAATAATAATGACACCATCATCACCACCATTTGACGGCCATTTTCCACGCTTGCTTGGGTTAGCCGTGATCACCTGCCAGGTAAATTTGAAGCGTTTTACGGCTGGATGACTTTACGATTACCAATCACTTTTACAGACTGGGAACTGGGGGATAATAATAATAATAATAATAATAATAATAATAATAATAATAATAATAATGATAATGATAATAATAATAATAATAATAATAATACAATTTCTTACGTCTTCAAGAGTAGCTCGTTACAATACAGAGATGAATGGTGTCGGAAGTACTGTGTATGTATGTGAATGTTGTCCACAGTGTTTAAGGGGGGAAGAGGACAGGGGTGAGGGGAAAGGGAAGGGGTAGGGGAAGAGGGAAAGGGATAGAGGTAGGGGGTATGTGGTCTGTGTCAAGAATTTGTGGACACGAGACACACTGGTTCCTCGTGAAAGTCTTATTAAAACGAGTGTGTAATAAGTAAAATTAATGACATAATTATTGTAGTAATTACGATAATTAAGTAAAAACAATAATGATGCTGTTTACTCTAATAATAATATCAGTAATAATAATGTCTAATATAAAATAATAATGGTATTAGTATATACTAATAGGAATATTATAGTAATTCATTATATTTATACCTGAACGTACCTGGGTTTGCAAATTAACACCCACAATAATATCCACAATGCTATGTGTTGGGTAAACATCTACAGGTGAACATCTTATCAGCGTGCAGCTCTTGACCCAATCAGACCACAGTAAGGGTTCGTCTGGTCCATGACACGATACTTCACTTGGCCACACGAACACTGACTACATACCTTGACCAATAATAATAACAATACTACTACTACTAATAATAATAATAACAAAGACAATAGTAATAGCTACAATTGTTAACCCTGCGTGATTTCCACAATCAGTGTTGGTCAGCACACCACCACAACCAACCTACCACCCCGTGTCCTAACCAATACGTCTCTTCCTGGGTTGAGATCAATGGCACAAATTTCCTTTACTCACGAGAATATTCCTGATATTTAATTTTTTTTTCCCTCCACACTTTATTCTGTTGTGGATAACGCGTCTTAAGAATATATTACCAATCAACAGTGAAAGTTTGACCTTCTAGTGAGTTTGATGATCGTGGTATTTGAAGTTAAAGGAACTAATCATTTCACACGATGGATATTTTCGAGTCTTCATATGAGTTTTAATCATGAATCGTAAGGTGGTGTCAAGGTACTCCCAGGCTCATTTGTACACACACACACACACACACACACACACATGATCACTAGCCAGGGGTGTTTGTCTGGGTACACTACTTGAGCGTCTTGTCTCGAGCGGTCCAGTTTTTTTTCAGCTGGATATTGAATTCAACCAAGATGCGGTATTCTTGACCACTGATAATGTTCGAGTGTATCAGATGTACCGGGTCTTCTCTGTTATCACTCCAATACCAGTTCACTACCAGTTCAATACCATTTCAGTATCAGTTCAGTACCAGTCCACTACCAGTCATTACCAGTTAAATACCAGACCACTACCGGTTTACTGCCAGTTCAATACCAGTCCATTATCAGTCCACTACCAGGTTACTATTAGTCTACTACCAGTTTGAAAGTTGTTGTTGTTGCGTTTATTAAGTGATGACTGTCCCGGGGTAAGTCACCTGTGTGCCCCAGGGGTAAGTCACCTGTGTGCCCCCGGGGTAAGTCACCTGTGTGCCCCGGGGTAAGTCACCTGTGTGTCCCGGGGTAAGTCACCTGTGTGTCCCGGGGTAAGTCACCTGTGTGTCCCGGGGTAAGTCACCTGTGTGCCCCAGGGGTAAGTCACCTGTGTGCCCCCGGGGTACCTGTGTGCCCCTGCCACCTGTGTGTCCGGGTAAGTCACCTGTGTGTCCAGGGTAAGTCACCTGTGTGTCACCTGTGTGGTAAGTCACCTGTGTGTCCCGGGGTCACCTGTGTGTCCCGGGGTCACCTGTGGGGGTCACCTGTCAAGTCACCTGTGTGTCCCGGGGTAAGTCACCTGTGTGCCCCCACCTGTGTGCCCCCGGGGTAAGTCACCTGTGTGCCCCGGGGTAAGTCACCTGTGTGCCCCCCAAGTCACCTGTGTGCCCCCGGGGTAAGTCACCTGTGTGCCCCCACCTGTGTGCTAAGGAAGTCAGAAGTTGCTTAAAGTAAGTCACCTAAGTCACCTGTGTGCAAGTCACCTGTGTGCCCCCGGGGTAAGTCACCTGTGTGCCCCCGGGGTAAGTCACCTGTGTGCCCCCGGGGTAAGTCACCTGTGTGCCCCCGGGGTATATCACCATCCGAATTCTTAAAGACTCATGTAGTTACACACACACACACATACACACACACACACACACACACACACCTCCTTTTTCACAATCCAATATGTATAATTAAATTTCGCAGAGGTTACTAATGCATTTTTGTTAATTGCATCAGGATAAACAAAAATATAATTATAAATAAAAATAAAAAGTACTAAATAACCAGTTTCTAATCGTAGTAATATTATATATATATATATATATATATATATATATATATATATATATATATATATATATATATATATATATATATATATATATATCAGCCTGATAAGAATTAACTATTTATTATAATGAGATGTATGCAGACAATTCACAACGAATAAATGTAATAAAACACTAATATAATGATTGGCTCTGTTGATTGGCTAAAAAAAAATACACCGATCCTACAGATTGGTTACAATAATACACCTGTTCTGTTGATTGGCTAAAAACAACACGACCTTTTGATTGGCTACGGTAAAATAACACAAAATACATCAGGCTTGTTGATTGGCTAAAATAAAAAACCACGTGACAACTGGAGTGTATCGACCAATCAGCTGTCTTGCACGTTGGATTAATTAGAGGTGTGCTAAAGGACAATATATTGATAAATGAAAGAATGAGATGATGGAGTGAGAAATGAGTGAAAGATACAAGAGTGAGAGGTGGGAGAGTGGAGTCAAGAGGAGGTGGGGCAGTAGTGAGTGAGTGGGGTATGTCAGTGAGAGTGGCGTGAGAGAGGGGCACAACACGAGGCGGGGCACCAAAGATAGGGTGATGGGCACATTCCTGCCTCCCGCACACTGAGGTAAAAACTCCTGTATACAATATACAGAGGGCGGCCTCGTGTACAGCTGCCGATATTCACTGTTGCGACTGGCACATGGTTGAGGAGGAGGAATAACATATGACCCCCTGGTTTGGCCGTGGTTGAAAGTCCCGGCGCGTTCCTCAACCCCTCCCTCCCTTTTCTTTCTACCCCATTCCCCCACCCCCTCATCTTTCTACCCCTCCCTCCCGCCCACCGAACCAGGCACTGTCCGACCGACTTTTACTTTCTCGAGAGTGGCATCGGTGTGAGGCCCCGGCGAGCGCCCCGGCTCTCGTTATCAGTCCTCTGCAGCCGCCGCGGCCGCATCTCCCAGTGGACGCTCCTGGAACACTAGCCCCTTGTCTCCCAAGCCAACCATTCCTACGCCGCCAACGTCGTCGTCGTTGTTATACACCTGAAGAATATAACTGTGACGGCCGCCACGCTACGGACGCGCCTGCCGCCGCCATGACTTTACTCAAGGTAAGTAACGTTTATGATAGCTGGCCCGCTGCCTACCAACCCGGCCCGGCCGTGCTCAGGGCCACGGTCCCATCTCAACAACGGTCGTTGACCTAACTTCCGCCTGGTCTCGATTCTGAAGAAGGAAGTTGTTTCCGCAGTGTTCTCGTGCAAAATAGTTATTATTACATGTTGGATATACAAAGAGACGTGATGGAGTGCAGGACTAAGTGGTGAAGGCGCCAGTCAGTGCCAGAAAGTGTTGATCAAGTGCCGTAAGACCGCCACGGGGGGTCAGGCTCTGCTGCTGTGGTGACGTTGGAGGACGCAGAAGGCTGGCCAAAGAAAATATGTTCGTGGCAAGTGTGGAGGCCAGGGCATGCCTCGTCCACTCGTGGATAATATCCTTCGCTCTCTCTTTCTCTCCCGCTCTGCACCTTCTTTCTCGCTTTCTCTCTTGCCCTTTCTCTCTCTACCATGCTCTCTTGCCCCCTTTACTCGCCCACGCCACTCCTGGATCGTCTACCTCTTCATGAAGGATTATATGACCGAAAAACTTACTAAAATCTGTGTTCAATGTTTATATTCCAATTAGTAGAATTTGTGTCCTCTGAATGTATTAATATAATTAGCCGCTTTAGCCAGTGATGCCACCCTGATAACACTGTCATTAACCATGTCACGATAGTATATAGAATTGACCTATGAATAACTAATGGTTCTAAACAGTACACCACCTCTCACGCCCCTTGCCTCTATGAACTACACCTAAGTATCGTTCTCTAGCGATATCTAGGAGTAAAAAATCACCAAGATATTTACACATCACACTTTGAGCACTCGGTAATAACAATAACTAATGATCAGATCTATAAATTCGAGTCCGGTAACGTTGACAATGGCTGCTATTGGTCAAACACTTCACGGACAAACCTGGCAATGTTTACAAGTCCGCTCTTGAGTGTTGGCTACTGGGAGATATTTATCATCCACTTAATACAGGTCACTCATGAGAGACTACCAACTGGTTAATACTCAACACTAACCAGTAATCCTCGCTATCAGTTTATCATGTTAGGGAGAGATGGCGGCATGAGTGAAGGTACGAGGGAATAGAAGTGTAAACAAGATGTAGGTACAAGAGTATAGGTACAAGAATAAAAGTTACAGTGGTTGACGAAAGATGTAACCTACACAACATATATGACGTCATTACTATCGTGTGTGGTGACCCATGTGACGTCATATCCGGCACCCACCATGGTTTCCTCACCAAGACTCCATCCACAACGTGTTCACCATACTCCTCCCTCCCGTGTCCCCGTGATTCATGGTGCCTCCTCCTCCTTCTTCTCCTCCTCCTTATACCTGTGTGACCCGTTAACCTCCTTCTTACTGAACACCTGAGCCATGACTGTACACGTGAAGGATGAGAAAATATATCACACCTCTTCCCCCCACCCCTCCCTCTCTCTCTGTTTCTCTCTCCCTCACTCCTCTGTCTTTCTCCCTCCTCCCTTTCTCTTTCTCTCCTTCCCTCCTGGTCCTCTCTCTCCCTCTTGCTCTATCTTCCTCTATTGTTCGTTCTCTCTCTGTCTCTTTCTCCCTCTCTCCTTCCCTCCTTCTCTCTCAAGGAAGCCAATATTACCTCCCCCCCCCTTGCTATGTTAGGTGTTGCTCGCCATATAAGAACACTGGCCTGGTTGTTGATCCTTCGCCCCGACGTCAACAGTGCCCGTGTGTGTGTTGTTGATCCTTCGCCCCGACGTCAACAGTGCCCGTGGGTGTGTTTGTCTCAGTCTGTTGATGTTTCCTTCAAGTGTGATAGTATGAGGTCGACCGCATCAGGGGCTTGTTTGACGTCATCTACGGATTGTGACGTCATCGAGTTTTGGGACGTCATCGAGTTTGTTTGGCGTCATTTAGAGTTTGACGTTATCTAAGGTTTGTTTGACGTCATCTAGAGTTTTTTTACGTCATCTACGGATTGCATAACGTCATCTAGAGTGTTTTGACCTCATCTATAAGCCACACAGAGCAGTACTTTCTTGGTCAACATAACCACTATGCTGTACATTGTTTCGTCAGCCCAAAACACGTCTAGACAGGTCAACAACCTCGTGACTCATCAGCTGGTGTGTGGGGGAGGAACCAGCTGTGTGGGGGCAGGAGGGAACCAGCTGTGTGTGTGGGTACAGGAGGGAATCATCTGTGTAGGATAGGCAAGATGGAACCAGCTGTGTGTGGGGGGTCAGAAGGGAACCAGCTGTTGTGGGGGTGCAAGATCGAGCCAGCTGTGTTGGGGGGTACAGGTGGATGTAGGAGTGGGCATCACCACCATCTGAGTCAAGGGGGCGGGCACAGAGGGGGCAACAACCACCAGCTGAACACGTGAAAGTCAACAAATACCAACATGGCGTCTCCCGGTTGCTGACGAAATCACCTACTTGTGTTGCTATTTGGTGTTTATAGTTTAAATACTCGTAAATATATATATACATCTCCCACGTTACTATGGTGTAGTTTATATACATCCTAAGTTACACTGTGTTAGTTTATATAGGTATCCTAGTGTACAATTCAATGCTATACTCTTAATGTGTCCTCTTGTGTGTATGTATGTATGTATGTACTGTTCTTGTGTGTGTGTGTGTGTGTGTGTGTGTGTGTATACTGTATGTTCATGTATGTTTAATGTGTGTGTGTGTGTGTGTGTGTGTGTGTGTGTGTGTGTGTGGGTTATGACCTCCCACTCACCCTTCCATGAGACGGTCAACGTCCCTTCCCCGTGTCTCTCTTCCAGTTCCCTTCCCATCCTGTCTTCTTCCCTTTCATTTCATTTACAACTTCCTTTCCCCTCTCCTCAACTGTAAATTTCTCTCTCTTCTTCTTCCCCTCACTATCACTCCCTCTGCTTCATCTAATTATACCTTCCTCCCCCTCCCCCCCACCTAAACTATTCCTTTCCTCCTTTCTCTTTTACTCTTCTTCTATGCTTTTCTTTTGTTAATTCTTTCCTTCTTCTCGTCCCCCTTTCACTTCTTTCCTCCTCTACCCACTACAATCGTCCATGGTCTAAATAAGCAACATTACCTGTGTACAAGAGAGGGGCATATGATCCCCGTGTGTGTTGGGGGCGAGGAGGGGGACTGGTTGGGAGAGGGATGGGGGGGGGGAGGGGGCTGGGAGGGGGGCAGGGTTACATGACAGGTGGGCCAGTACCCCCCCCCTACACCTGTACACATGTTTCCTCAAGGTGGGACATTAATAAACTTTGGTATAATGATTACTTCCTATTTACCTGAATTTTGTGATGTTTGTTGTAAATAAAATTTGATTATTTTTTTTACTTGTTTAATTGTATAATATTGTTCTAGTCTGAGTTTTTTTTCAATATAGGCCTAGTGTGGTAATCTTCATCAGCTATATACAAGACGTTCAGTATGTTATGTTAGACACCCCGGGTTCGATCCCCCATGGCGGCAAGCATATCCGGGTTCGTCAATGGAGCTGTAAAAAGAAAGTTTGCCGTGAAGGAAGAAACGAGAAGAAAAAAAACGCGTTGACAAATCCAGTTTTTATATGCATTTTTGTGTTAGTGACCTACTGCGCCAGTGCGGAAAATAACTGGTAGTCTCCAGCGTTAAGCCACTTTTTGCCTGGCTTTTCTCATGTTGCGGACGATACCCCAGCCATCCTCCTCCTCTTCCTCCTCAACCTTCACTTTTAGAGAGTAACACAACATAACCGTCGACCCTAACTCATTATTAACCTCTTAAGTCTAAACTATACTGTATATCTTAAATCTTGTAAAAAAAATAATATCACGGTAAAAATATAAAATGTGTGAAGAAAATTTACGAAAAGAAAGTGAGAGAGTTAATAACAGAGAAGGAAACGATAAGACGTGTGAGCATCTTGAGGGACTTTGTGTGTGGGTGAGAGAGGGAGGGAGGGGAGGGGGTACAGGAAGGAACACAATAACGAGGATGTGTAGCTCACACTTGATGAAGCACCGACACGTGGCATGAATGACGTGGGGACTGACATTCATACCATTTATCCCTTCAATTATATTCTACCCCTCTCTTCTCTCTCTCTCCATTTACGGAATATTAAAGTTGGTTTTCGTGTTTGTACCCGTGGAGGAGAGCCACCAAGAAGAGGTGTGGCCATATTTCTTGATGTGCACATGACCTGTGTGTGAGGCGTGTGGCCACCACCACTTGCTAGCTCTCTCGCTTGCCCGCGGCCCTCCCACACCACCCACCACCTCCCCCTCCCTCACCACACATGAAACCTTTTAAATTTTAATTGACTAAACACACCAATATCATACAGAATTATATATAATATATATACATTAAACATCTTAAAATATACACATTTATGCAAAAGTTATAGACAAGGAATAGTTGGCAACAAATGTATTACCTTAGCAATTTATACGCGTTAATATTTTTCTCAACTGAATATAAAATCAATAACCAGTTACTTCTTAACTATTTTTATTATTTCATTAGGTTTATTAAACTAAATGAACGTAAAACAATGAGTTGGTCAGATTTTAAAATATATAATCATCAGAATTTCACAAAAGTTTAATTCCTGGAGTGAGTTTTGTATATTATAATGCAGAACTATTTTTCCTGATAAATGAATGCGTCTGATTTTAAGTTCCAAGATTTAATTTTTCATTTTATCCACACGGTCAATGTAATTCAGTATATTAAGACCATCATTTTATATTTATTTTTATTTATAAGTAAAAATACGAATTAATATTTTCTTTTGCGTGATTCTTGACTATTGTTTTTAATTCAAATTTTACAGTATTGGTTTAGCTACCAGTGTATATTTCTCTAATAAGACAATGTTGACTTTTACGTTATTTTCAATCGAGTGTTGATGACGCAGGACAAACACAATGTAAACAGAAAATTTAATCAGAATTCTTTTTACTATTGTCATTGCAAATTAAAGAGTGTATTTCGGTTTCTTTTTTTTGTATAGTGATACGC